CTTGATTTTCCAAGTGCTGGAAATGTCAGGTAATTTTAAAATTAGGTCAAAAGGGCCAAAGATGACCGGGAATTTTGAAACGGTAGATATGTCAGGGAAATTTGTATCAGTGTTGAAAAAATAATGTTTCAAAAAAAAATTAGGACTATGACAGGATATCAATGAAATCCAAAATGTAATATTTAGTTGATTCCACAGGCTAAAGTATGAAAACGTATTACATATATCTAAAAATTTTACACTGTCTTGATTAATGAATTTCATAGATCTAGAGGCCCTTCAGGAGTGGAAAACCTTAAATTATCAGAGATTAATGTTTCCAAACTGTTTTGAAACAAACGAACGTCTTGTTTTCAACCTACACCTTGCTCCTTTCTGTCGTATTTAATAAAACAAAAATAGTATATCACCGAGGGATACGAACCACTCACCTGGGACTTGGTTATTCACTAGCGCCATAGGCGTTCTACTATTCTGGATACAACTGACGAGTCGTATTTAAGTGAGGATCATTTTGAATTGACGCTCGGTATAAATATATAATACTTTTGTTCTTTCATATCGGTAGCTCGTTGGTCTCATGGTTAGCGTGCCTGGCTTCCATTGTGTAGGTTAGTTGATCGAGACCCGTTCATGTCGAACTTTTTGATTTGCTTGTTGTCAAGATATAATAAGTAGGGCAAAATCAAGAAAAGGTAGATCAAAAATACTCCAATGGAGTATAAAATTGTCACCAGGATTCCGGAATGAGACGAATGTTAACTCGTGAATTCTCGGTAGATAAAGTAGGTCAGAAAATCTGGATTAATCCGAACAAGGTTCGGGAATTTCTGTCATAAGAAGTAGGTCAAAAATACTCCAATGGAGTATAAAATTGTCACCAGGATTCCGAAATGCGACGAATCGAATCGGGAAACTTCGGTACAATAATGAAGTGCATAAAAACCGAAATGATCCGAACAACGTTCGGATAAAATCGTGAAACAGGTGTCAGGGGCTTCCCCTCATCTTTCCATACATGGTTCTAAAAGCCTTATATGGATCTATCACGTGACATTCAAAATGACGTTCCTATATGGTTCTATGGGCCTTATATGGATCTTTCGAAGACGTGACCTAATACCAAATCAAAATCAAAATTTTACCTTGACCATTGGATGGGATTTCATAGAAAATATCAAAGAAAACATATCCTCGTGATCCTTAATCACTTAAATTCGATAATTTTATCTTCACCCCTTGATGGAATTTTATGAAAGAAGTTATGAAAACACATCATCATGTAAGGGTTTTCACCTAAATTAGCTCGTTTTATCTTGACCCTTCAATTGAATTTCATTGAAAAATGTTTAATGAAAAATATCATCATGTTATGATTTGTATTTAAATAAGACCGTTTCATCTAAATACTTGCTGGATAATATTTCATAAAAAATGCACTTTAAAAATATTTCAGGATTTGCCTTAATTTATCAATGTAATGTAAGTATTAGATTGACTCTCAAATAGGGTTCTATTTTAACTTTTTTATTGAAATTAATACTAGGCTAATAAAAATTCAACCCTTGGATGTGATTTCGTTGAAAAAAAAATATGACAAGTCCAGAATCAAATGATTTGTCCAGAACCTCTAAAGATCCTGTTATTACAATGTTTTTCATATATCAAAATGTATATTTCACCTACAAAATACTGTTTTTTGGTCAATTTGTACATCATCACCCATCAATTTATCACATCCTATTGTTTTACAAAAATGACATCATATACCAATATGTTTATGAATCTATGGAAGCTAGACAAAACATCATTAATTGAATATGATAGCTTCTTGGCTCCATTCAAAGTTATACTGTCACTCAAAAGACTAGACTTCTCCCTTTCTTGGAACCACTTCTTGCCATTGGCTATGTGATTTACCTGTCAAATCTACCACCAGTCCTTACTATAAAACATGTTCAATTGAATGCAAGATATCTTTATCTAAGATTAACTTTGGCACTCTGCAACATCCATAGAAGTTTAAGATTGTGTCATTGAGTTCAAGGTAATATTGATAAATTACTAAATTACTAACATTTTCCATCTTAGAAGCCTCAGTTAATTTTACAAAAATTAAACAATTTCTTCTTGTTTTACATTATGATGTCTTATTCGAAAGTTGTTTATATCCACATGCCAAGAAATGATGCATCTCCAATGTCTACAGTTAACAAAGCTACCAGTTCCCAAAACATTCTGCTGTTATGATGATATCAGCACAACGGAAGTATTTATCCTAAGATTTCTGTATTTGTAAGCAACATGTAAAGTATTCGAGATTATCATGACCTAAGTTTCAAAAATCCAATGAAAAATCAAACTTTGTCACAGAACCCCTGGCACTATATAACTGCCAAATTTTGGGTATGTAGGCTGGAAAATAAAAAAGTTGTAGTGTCTTGGCGTTTTTTGGCCCACCCTGTATATGTGCTTCGTTGAATCAGTCAGGCCGTCTAGCTGATTGTCAAAAATATGCATTGATTGATTTCATATAGACCGAGACTCATTTCACATGAATGCACGAGTGCCGTCACGTCAAAATCAGCGACTTAACATACCCTCCAAATTATTGGATAAATCGCCATTATTCAGCAACAAAGCGTTTAAAAGATCGCTTTGAATTACAATAGTCACAGACCGCGAATGTGCCATCGTTCTGATTCCCCACCACGGTAATGTAAATAAATTTAAACAAAAAGACGCTTTAACCCTAGAAGCCCCAGGGGGAGGGGTTCAAAAAGACCCACCACCGTTATGTAAATAAATTCAAACATAAAGAGGCTTTAACTCTAGAAGCCCCAGGAGAGGGAGGTCAAAAAGACCCCACAGTTAAGTATTTTCTTTAAAACTTTTTATAGGCATTAGATAGGGTTTTCAGATTCTCAGTAGCTAGTGCTACGGATATAACATACGTATTCTGAAAAAATCAGCAGAATTTTACATAGGGTAAATTATTTATCATGATGTAAAAGTCAGTTCCAATAGACAAAATCGTAAATGCTAGCACTCATTCTACCATACGTGTTGTCTTAAGAATAAAATTACGCAATTTTACATCATCATAGTTGTTTACGTCATTACACCATACAACATATAAAATAATTGAATGAAGCATATTTAAAAAAGTTTGAACATCCTAGTTTTACCAATAAGATTTTACAAGGCCCTTTTGACCCCCGCTTTTTTACCCCAAGGCTTCTAGAGGGTTAACACGTTGTCCGATGAGGGAGTTAGGGTTGGCAAACCTATGTTATGGATTGGAGTGTAAATCGTCTTTACAGGTTGCATATGAAGCTGGGATATCTCTACAAGCTTCTTTCTTAACTATCAGTGCCAGCTATAGTATATGTATTATAAGTACGTTTCTGTGGCTACCACGACAATTTATTCCCTATCCATTGCCGAATAACTTTTCCATGACGATATGCTCTTCCTGTAAACGTAACAATGGTGGTAACGAAGTCAAATCCGACCTTGAAATAAGCACTGTGGAGCAAAATCCAAACGTAAAATCGGAAGGAACCATCGAGTCGACAGATGATAACGCACCAAACACACCAGGTGACTCGCCACAACCTTTTAAAGTTGTTATACAATCGCCTATGTATTGGACAAGTGTCATGTAATTTTGTAAAAAGCATTAACAACGTTCATTTTGATTCACTTTAAATTTTTATATAGAATCTTTTGTGTAAGTGACTTACATCTATACTCGATTTATTTGGGTGTCCGAAAGATTGATTTATCTACATGGCAAAAAGAATTATTAATTAGTCAAATAACTCAAGTATTCTGGAGATATGCAAGTAAGAAAACCACTACTCATGATGGGATACCCCCACTCCAGAAAAATGATGGGACCCTCACATCAGATGACAAGGAGAAAGCCGAAGTTCTGTACAAGTGTTTTTTCCAAGGATGATATGACTGATACCCCCATGCTAGATGTCATGTATGTTAATAATTAATGATTCATTTAAAGATGTCGCCATCTGTCAGTAATAGCTTCCCCAGACCACTTTAGCGAAATCATTCTATTATATTATATCGACTATGTTATGTTCTCAGTAAGAAAATAAAAGCACGTGAAATATTTGCAAAACACCAATCTGTATTTGCTTGATTGTCGAATATATGTAACACTGGCGACGAGGATAAAGTTACCTCCATGTCAATATCGATATTCACTATATTTTGGACTGTATAACACCCAGTAAGTATCATGGCTGACGGTGAAGAACAGACAGATCCAGTTCGTGACTTTAATTTGAACTTAAAGTTCCAACATTTTGATGACTCTGTTGAGAGTGTGGATATATACTTCGAAAGACTAGATCAATATTTCGAGGCAGCAAATTTAAGACCAACAGACGATAAAATTGTGCCATTAACATTGACATTGATTGGTGCAAAAATGTACAAAACCCTAAGAGATTTATCAACACCAAAGCGTCCACATGAACTGTCATATGAACAGATAAAAGACACACTGATTAAACATTACTCTCCGAAACCACTTATAATAGCGAAACGTTTCAAATTCTATAAAAGAGATCAGGATTCGACAGAGTCCATTGCGGAATATACTGGAATCATCAAAACCATGGCGGACAAATGTGACTTTGGGAATTTTCTTCCACAAGCCTTACGTGATAAACTGGTTTGTGGTATCGCAGATGAAAATATTCAGAAGCGACTGTTAAATGATGACATGTCATTCCAACAGGTGTATGAAAAGGCTGTAACTATGGAGTTAACATCTTCAAAAATTAAGGAGATGCAGTCAGCTTCTGCAGTGAAAAGTCCTACAGTGAACAGATTAAAGGATGTTGGAAAGAAGGACTATAAATATGATAAATCCTGTTACAGATGTTTGGGCAAAGGTCACAATAGTGATGAGTGTTACTTCAAAAATGAGAAATGTCATAGATGTCCACGCGTTGGTCATATTTAAAAAGGCATGTAACAACAGAACATTGAAAGATTCAAAGTTTAACCACAAGAAGAAGTCAAAAGGTAGATATCGTAAACACAATGTTCAGTCTGTCGATGCCGACGATCACGACAGATCTACTTCAGACAGTGAACCGTACTACATAAAGGTGAACACTATTTCTAGTAAGAGATTAACCCCCATAAAAGAATCATTGTCAGTGAATGGACAACATGTTGAGTTTGAAGTTGACACGGGGTCAGCGTTTTCTATTATGTCAAAGAAAATGGCTGATGACAGATTAAATGACATTGATGTGACACCATGCAGTTTAAAACTGTATACGTACACTGGAGAACAGATAAAAGATGTTAGCGAAATTACAGTCAAAGTTGAAACAGGTAGTGGCTCGAAGGATTTACGCTTATTATTAGTGCCAAATGATGGACCACCACTACTAGGCCGTGATTGGCTTCAACATGTAAAGTTAGATTGGACTCAGATTAAAAATGTACATGGATCAAGTAATCAGCCAAAAGAGCTGAGATCTGTACTGAAGAAACATGATAAACTGTTCAATGAAACTATTGGATGTATGAAAGGATTCAAAGCAACATTCAAGCCCAAGGATGGTAGTACTCCTCAGTTTCGTAAACCCTACCCTGTACCGTACGCTTTGCGGGGTAAAATGGAAGAGGGCTTGAAGAAAATGGAAACTATGGGAATTATTTCTCCAGTGGCTCAGAGCGAATGGGCTACACCATGTTTTCCCATATTAAAAGGCAATGGCTCAGTTCGCATATGTGGTGACTATAAATCTACATTGAATCCGGTGCTTGAAGATAATTCGTATACCATGCCTGTCATTGAGGACATATATGCAAACTTAGGGCATGGTGAAAAATTCACCACACTGGATTTAGGTAATGCGTTTACCCAGATCGAATTATGGGAGGATACTAAGATGTATACTACAGTCAACACGTGTAATGGATTATAGGTCTACAATCGTCTCAATTATGGTACCAAAGTGGCCCCAGCGATTTTCCAAAGGGCAATGGATTCTATTTTACGTCCTTTACCCGGAGTATCCTGTTATTTGGATGATATAATTATAACAGGCAGAGATGATAAAGAACATTTGGAGAATCTCAACAAAGTGCTACAAGTATTGGAGGATCATGATCTGAGAATGAATAAATCAAAGTGTAATTTCATGCAGAAATCAGTCTCATATTTAGGTCATGTGATTGATAAAGATGGCCTACATAAATCTGAGGAAAAAGTGAAAGCTATTGTGAATATGCCAAGACCACAGGATAAAGGTGGTCTTCGCTCATTTCTTGGAAAAGTTCAATATTACAACAAGTTTATTCCAAGATTATCAATTATCGATCCACTCAATGGATTACTACACAAAGATGCCGAGTGGAATTGGAATTCTCAGTGTGAGGAAGCATATCTCAAGTGTAAAGAAATATTAGCTTCAGATCTTGTGCTGACACACTTTGATTCAAATCTCCCCATAAAGTTGGATACAGATGCATCAATGAAGGCTGTCGGAGCAGTAATTTCACATATCATGCCCGACAAATCTGAACGTCCCATTGCATATGCCTCTAAATCACTCAACAGTACTCAGTGCAACTACAGCATGATTGATAAAGAAGCTTATGCCATTATATGGGCACTGTAGATAAATCAATCTCTCGGACACCCAAATAAATAATTATTTCCATTAATCTAGCTCATTTGCTCGACAAAATTCGTCGGTAACTACCAACCCGTCAAAACCACGGCATGAGGTTAAAACATACGGCCAATGGAGTACTGCCTCCACGTTTTTATTGCAGTCTGTTGTAAAGTACATTCTGGCCAAATCAGTCCTTCTTTGTAGGTCTGGGTCTGGAGGGCTCTGACTTCTTCATCACTTTTACCCCATTGATAATTTCAGGTGTGATGATCGTGTTCCTGCCAGATATGAGCAAATTGGGCCTCCCTATTTAAAGTGTTTGTACCACCTATACACATTCTTTCTAGCAAATTTTTTATCCCTAAAGCATTGTCTAGACTCTATCGGGGTCTCGAGCTGTGTTTTACCTTGATATACACAGTGTTATATCAGTCATCTTTGTTTTCGTTTTGGTTGGCCTCCATTTTGACCCAAAATGGCTGATTTACTGGGCCAGGTGTAATTTGGTGTCTGTTTGAAAAATGATATTCCATACACTAAGCACCTTATGACATCATAATAGCAGACGGTTACTTTAGAAACATCGAAACACACAACTAGAAATAACTGTCATCATATTTGCATTTAACAAATAAAGTTTTATATACTTTTAAAAACAACAAACAAATCATGCTGATAATGTGCATGAATGAAAAATACAACCTGACCGGTGGTACCCATACTTAAAACAAATAAGGAGGTATAGTTATCAAATCTCCCAGAAATGTTGCCACTTCAATAAATAGTCAACTCTGAAAAGGAGGAGGGAAATAGGCGCAGCAGATTTTGGACAGTCATATGTTTGATGTTTGTTTCACTTCTAGAGATGATAAAATAATTTCGACTTTGAGACAGGGTGAATGCAAACAACCCACCCACATGTTTTTTCTGAAATGTTTTCCTGATTTTCAACCCCTTCCATCCCTGCTTTTTTAATTTTTCTTGCATCAATATGTTGCGTTTTGACACACAGTTAATCCCTTAAAAGGAATAAATGATTCCTTTTAGATAAAAGTGGAAAACAATATTTTCCATGTTATTTTCCCAAAGGGAAAAATCATTGCTTTCAGCTAAGTTTGGTCACCCATAATGGGTATCTTTAAAACCCCTGAAGGAATCACCTGAAGGAATCAATTGGCGTGAGACGAGGCATCGCCAATCAGCATGGTGTTGACAAAAGAGCGTCTCACAAATAATTAATTGATTAAGTGGTACCGGGGAAGGCGATGTCCGTCTCCTTAAAAACGTTTACTTATAAACTTGCCAGGACCCCCCCCCCCTTGAATGTAACAAAAGCGATGCAAATGTCCAAGCAGTGGCGTTTCCAGAGAGTCCAACAGCACATGGAGTTTCAATAGTCCAGTGGCGCTTAATAAGTAGTTTCATCTCATCCTTGAATTCATTAAAGGGCCCATTTAAGTCAGCTGGAGGAATCATTTTATCTATCGGTCCCGAAAGTGCTGAGAGTTTCATTTTTATCATTTTTTATTTATTCCACTTCATATTAATGTTACATATAATACAGTACATGTATATTTACATTATATTGTTTTTACATTATCTAGGTCATATGATTATTCGATCATTTGATCATTACACATCATAAGTGATCTCTATTCAATAGCACTTGACTTAGTGTTGGATGATAAATCTGTATCAAGAAATGATACATATTGCTATGCTATTGAACAAGACCCAAGTTATGGGTGTGGGAGGGGGGGTAAAAAATTGCCCCCTCACTTGTGACCATTGCTATGTAAACATTTCGATAGCACAGTATGTGGTATTCCATTCATCCGTCAACAGGAAAAGTGATATGTATAAGTCGCATTATTTTATAGATGTCACTTATAATCATTACACATCATAAGTGATCTCTATTCAATAGCACTTGACTTAGTGTTGGATGATAAATCTGTATCCCTCATTCACAGCAAATATGCTTGAACTGTAAGCATTCATATAGTATCCTATTTCCCCTTCTCCAAAACTAATAAAACATTTAACAAAACAGATGATTGAAATAAAGAAATAGTATGACGTATATTTCTTGAAAAGTAGCATGGCCCAAGCATGAACAGTCAGTGAAAAACACTCTACATAATAAAACAGGCACCTACCATTCATGGCAGAGTATATCAAGAAAATGAGTTTATTAAATAACATATATACATCACTGATAGCTATCAAAACTAGAAACATCCCCATATTTCTTAAATTTAGACTCTATATCCGAAGCTGAAGCGCTACCTAAATGGTTGGAAAAAGAACCCGAAACAACGCCTAAATCTGTTAATATATTTGCTCTTGTTTATCTCTCTGAACTTTTCTCCGTAAACCAACCCACATGTTTCATGACATCTGATGGTGTTGCTGCCGCACCTGACAACATGTAAGAAATGGCACACCCCCCTCGAATACTGTGCGGCGTTTCCCCCTCATCCATTGATAAAGATCTCAAGTAATACTTCAGTCTGTCATAAATTGCCGAATAACTGACATGATCCAGCGAAACCACTTCACGTTCAGAAATGGTCCTGAAAAGGTACCCTGTGTCTCGAAAAAACACCCAAGCCTTTCATTGTCGAAAAATAAAGTTGCAACCCCCGAACAGGGCAGATGACATGATCCTCACAAGGTTTCAATGCGAAACAATTAACCTTCCCATCACCCCTTAATGTTTTCCCAAAGGAATGAGAAAGCAAAACCCCATCATCCCCCGGCAATTGTTTGACCTCTTGCAATTTAGTAAGGGTCAAATCACCAGCCCTATCACCCCCAAAAAACTGAATCTTAAAGAATGCCTGGTCACGAGCAAATATAAATCTGTCCCTAGAGGAGATACTCAGGTCATCAAGACGGCTACGGATAAATATGGAGAGTAGCCTAAGCTTTCTAACAAACAAAGGTTTCGATTGTTTTGGCAGAACATGGCTAGAAGCCTGCTCCACCTTGATAGCCTTGAGGAACAATCTGACCTCTGGAGCACATGCAGGATTACCCGTATTGTCATGAGGGAACCAAATCCTACCCTTCCCAATAAATTCGTAAACGCTCTTTAGATGTTGTACAATTCCAGCAACTGTCCCTGAAGCCAACCTCCTCGGACAAAGACAACGTTGTAAACCAGTCTTTCCCATATTTGGACACAATAGAACATGAACCTGTGTCTTACCACATGAGTCCTTAAAAACCAGGTATTTTCGAATATCCTCCGGAGTACCATCTCCAATTACGGGGGAATGCGGCAATTGTTTCAAAAATCTTTTGAAATCATCCCTAACGGAGGAACGCTTTTGAGAATAGGCCAACATCTCCTGAGTGTCATCCAAATAAGACAGCCTGGCATTAATATCATTCATGACCTCCTGAAAGGATAAAGCCTTATATTAACCTAACGAAATGACAGTCTCAGACAAACAAGGTCCCAGTCAAGACCATATATGTCCCTTACTAATCCCTTTTTGGTTGGAACATATATCATCCCCACATCCCCTTTCCGGGCCAAATGGACCATGTGCACAATATGTCTTGACAGCAGAGGCCACCAGATCGGCGCTGGTGACAGTAATGGAACAATCATGGTAATTGCTTTAATCTTCTGTTCAGAGAAAAGATTCAGCAAAGGCAGAACAAGGCAAATGGGGGGAAAGACATATGGGTTGGCCTCATTGGAAATATCACGGGAAAAAACATTCAAACCCGCCGAACCAGGTGCAGGAAAACGGGAAAAGAATTTCAAAGGAAGTCCGTCCGTCCCCTTCATAACATTAGCAGGTGATGCCATAAGATCAACAGTATGAGGCCCAAATTCTCTTTCAACAGACGTCCAGAGAACTTGTGAAAGCATGCTATCTTGTCTGGAGAGACGCCTAGAAGGACGATCCGCTGGATTATCAGCTGATGGCACATATTCCAGGCATAGATCAATATTCCAACTGACCGTGGGTTCAAAGACCCGTTTTAAAAGAGCATTCAGAGAACTGTCCCTGGAACCCTCATTCTTCCAGGAATAAACTACTGCAGTGTTGTCAACTAGTACATCCACTCTTTTATCCCGAATAGAACCACTAAGAGATTGGAGACCCTTCAACAAGGCATCTGCCTCTTTAACGTGAATTGGGCGGTCATCCCCCTCCCCCCAGTAATCACCGAAAGACTCCTTCACCGACCCCTCTGATAAAGTTGTGATACCATAACCAGATAATGATGCATCCGTTGCCATCCTGAACACAGTGTGAAATTCCCTCCTCCACGGCAAGAAACCAGTCCAACTGTCTAAGAAACGCCAATGGGAAACTTCAGAAGCCAATGCAGTCTCTAAAAGTATACCTTTACTGTTTTTAGAAGCCTTTGAGATTGCCAGATTGACTTCCCTTATGTATAGCTTTGCCCCTGGTACCATCTGTAGAAAAGATATACATTTTCCTGCAAACCTCTGCAGCATGTGCAAAGGTACAGTATGTAGACCCAAAATGGCCTCTCTAACGCCAATGAAAGATTGTATTTTCTCATCAGGAATGTGAAAAGTCTGCAACGTAGAATCTATGTCAAAGCCAAGGAACCGTAAATTAGTTGTTGGTAGAAAACAACTCTTCTTCACATTGAGAGTGTAACCAAAATCATTCAACACACTGAGTACTACATTGACAGTATCAAAGTGAGACCTGTTTTTGGGGATAATGTACAGCCTATCATCCAAATATTGAATAGTATCAATTCCAAGCAAACGTAACGATGAAGTAGCAACCATTCCAAAAGATTGGTATATGTAGGGTGATGCCTTAAAACCAAAAGGAAGGGTAGTGTATGACATAACATAACCGCCAAATGCTATCCCAAAATATGTCTGATCATCAGGAAGTATTTTCACATGATCGAACCCGGAGAATTTATCAGTTTTAAACATGAAAGCATCCTTCGGTGCTATCCTTGGGACATCCTTCAAAGTTTCAAGTTGAAAAGGAAGGTCTCTTACCCAAAGATTCAAGAAACGCTCATCGTGACACAAACGGGGTTTGGATGGTTCCACCGTCAGTGGCATAATAATACGTGGGAGTTGACACTGCCCTACCTTCCCCCACACCCTGATGGAGCCATTTTTAATTCTGGAAGACAAAGTATCCGCTATGAATTGAGAAAAAGGTATGCATGAGGCATGATTAGGAAAATACCTTCTGGGTGGGATGGGTGCATTAAAAGACAGGCCCTTGAAATTACCCTTGAAGTCCCTCCACAGATCAGCCACACGGACGCCCTCCCGTATCCAAGACAATAACCGCCCAGAATCAGGACCATTGGCATGTTTAGGTATTGACTCCCTCCATTTAGTTTCACAAAAGTGTATGCCCCCCGAAACGAAATAGTCAGAATCGCGCAGCAATAAACCTTCATTGTCATCAACATGGGGAGATATCCGGAGTCCATTCACTCTCATAGTCTTCCAAGATGAGTTCTCTGTAAGATGAAGCTTTCCCGGCTCAAAATTGACATCTAACTCCCAATCAGGTAATCTGATGAACTGATGATCCTATTAACAAAAATCCAATTATTACAACTCACAAACAGAGAAACATTCCAAAGACTATGAGAATGAAATGGTACTCCGGCATCAACCCACGTGGACTAAGTCCAGCAAGGGATTAGAATCCCCGGGCAGTGACAGAATAACATTACATTCACAAATAAAATACATTATCATATAAATCATAACATAATCCTACATAAGAAGTAATTAGGCCTAGTCAAAAATGTAGCACACAATGGTCATGTACACAATATAATCAATCAAAAAATCCAAGTTAAAATTTTTTTTTTTTTTACATTCCTTTCTGGACAGAGTCCAATTTAGGACAGTCTTTCAGGTAATGAGAAGGGCTCTTGCAGAGATGGCAAGTTCCAGAGCCTGAACCTCTGCCCCGCGAGCCGTAAGGTCTCCTTTGGCCTCCACGACCCTGAAACTGGATCTGGAACCCCCCATAACCACCATAGCCTGGGTTAGAGAAGCCCCCAAACCCCTGGTAAAAACCAGGTGGAGAATAGAAAGGCTGGAAAGGCTGGACTTGCTGTTCAACCTTAGGCTGGCTGTCGGACTTGTCCTGGCGCGCAGTACGTTTTGATTTGAGGCATTTTTGTACAGCATTGAATACCTTATCAGATGCAGAGCTCAAAGCGGCCAGGACAAGCTCCGGCACGTCCAACCTCTCAGCGTTCCTCTCCACCTGCCAGAGGAGGTCAGAGAAGAGAGGGGCATCTGCATGCCCAGTCTTATCTGACCTCTCCTTGAGGTCATCCAAAGTGGCTATTATCATAGCATTGTTCGGCTTCGCCTGTGTACAAAGATGTTTAACCTTAGTTAGAAGGGTCTCCACGGCTTCTTTGTTTCTGACCTCCTTTTCCTCCTTTAAACGCTTCTTCACCTCTTCCGCCACCTCCGAAGCCTCTTCTGTGGCCTTTCTCTTGCCCGGCTGGAAGCACATACAATGAACCAGTATAAATAACCCAAACGATCAACCATGAGAATAACAATAAAAAATAACACAAATCAATACGCCCACGAGTAATATGCCTACCGTTGCCAGAGATACATCGCCTTAGGGCACCCCTGCCCTTTTTTAGATAGTCCTCTATCCGTCCATTAGCTCTTAACAATTTCCCATACCCTCTCTGCAAACTACGCAACCTGTTTCCCACGTGCAAGTCCAACACCTTCATTGCAGTCAGAAGGGCTTCTATAGGGTCATCCCCCTGACCATACCGATCATCAGTGTTACCACCATAAAATTCGTCATTCACCTCCCCGGAGGAAGAGTTTTTATACATTTTAAGTGATTCCTCTGTACTATTGAGTGTCCCATCTAATGTAACATCCTTTCCCGAAACTGTCATCCTCCCAAAAGAGGGCAATAGGAGAACGGTAAATAACAAAGCCCATTGAAGCATAGTGTGCCCCATAATAAGAGATATCTAACTAGACAGTCCAAGACAAAGTTATTCCTGCTGTTAAAGTGATACACTTTTGGAAAGTGTGGAGAGCAACGGCAGCATATAGAATACCTCTAACCAAAAACATAAATTATTTAAATCCATATATAATGGGAATAAATAAATAAATCTCGCCAATAACCTTTAAGTTTAACATAAACAACAACAGCGGGTACCTGATTTGAGGCGTCAGGCGCAGAACACGTGCTTGTTTCTGGCAGCAATACATCACCCCTAGCGTCAGATTTATTCGCTAGCTGAATAGCAACGTGGCACGCCAGCTTTTTCCCGTCCACACCTGCGTCAACCCCCGACATCTCCAATATAGAGGCTATGGGTTCCCGTACGATCTCTAGGAACTTCTTATCCATATACGCCTCCTTTGCCTGGTCCAGAGACGCATCCTTAGTAAATCTATTAAACGGAGACACGTCCTCCCCATTGAGGGATCTGATCTGTTTGAGCAACTGGATTAGGCACTCTGGTGGAACCGTGTGCCTCCTCTTCAATATTTCAAAAGGGGTGGCCATAGTACTGTTTCTGGAAGAATGGATTATTGAAAATTTATTCATACATCAAATCAGCCAGCAACAAAGTGGTAAGTTCTAGAGGAATAAACAAACCCCTTAACATAAGACCTAATAAATCACCAAAAAGGAAAAGGTCGTATACAGGCTCCAACAATCAGCAGAGAAAGTCTCAAATTCCAAGGCCAGAAACAACCGCCTATGTATAAAAAACACAGGTCAACATAACCGACTAGTAGCAAGCGAGCCAACAAAGCCAGTGATATATACAGGCCAAAGCAAAATCCAAATATAACTCCAGTAATATTACGCCCCTGGACGTTTCACCCCCTAGACATTTCACCCCTAGACGTTTCACCCCTAGACTGTTCACCCCTTAGACGTTTCACCCCCTGGACATTTCACCCCTTAGACATTTTACCCCCTGGACATTTCTCCCCCTGGACGTTTCACCCCTAGACATTTCATCCCTTAGACATTTCACCCCCTGGACAATTCACCCCTTAGACGTTTCACCCCTTAGACATTTCGCCCCCTAGACATTTCATCCCTTAGACGTTTCACCCCTTAGACGTTTCACCCCCTAGACATTTTAATCTCAATTTTTTACTCCTAAATATTTCATTCAAGTATTTCTCTTTGTTAGAACTGAATACCCTTAGTGTAAATGGCATACATTATAGAACATATTTCCTATTGACACATTTTGCTCAGTAAATTTTAGTGAATTTAAGTTGATTTTATGTAATAATGTTTAGCGTGGGTTTGATTATTAAAATCACAATTTAATTACCAAGTGTTCCAAATAGCATAATCAAATAACAAGTGCTGTAAGTCACTAGAATTAACGCAGAGGTGAGTAGGTAGTTACAAGTTTCAACACCAGGTGGCTCATACAGGCCAGATAACATGGCGGGTATAGTAATTAATGCCATATCTAATTGTTTACTATAAAACTAATGCCTTTATATCATTATAAATAACATGTTACCTCATTTACCTACAAGAAGAAAAAACAATTGGATTAATTTTCTAAATCTAAATAATAATGAATAGGTTTGTTGCTTTTTAATAATGCAATTGATAACAAGGGAAGGGATTATCTAGGCAATAAGAGACTAGCATCTTTAATCAGCGCAAAGTCCAAACTTTTTTTAAAACTTATTTGTACCAATATTGTTGTGGTTTTATACACGACCTTTTCCAGTCAATGTTACTTGGAAAATAAATCAGTATATATGCACTCATATAAATTAAGTCAAAATTCACTTATAATCCAACCCATCACATTGTACAATACACACACTGTATATGGGGGTGAAATGTCTAGGGGGTGAAATGTCTAGGGGGTGGAATGTCTAGGGGGTGAAATGTCTAAGGGGTGAAACGTCTAGGGGTGAAACGTCTAAGGGATGAAACGGCTAGGGGTGAAATGTCTAGGGGGTGAAACGTCCAGGGGGTGAAACATCCAGGGGGTGAAACGTCTAGGGGGTGAAGTGTCTAGGGGGTGAAATGTCCAGGGGGTGAATTGTCTAAGGGGTGAACAGTCTAGGGGTGAAACGTCCAGGGGGTGAAACGTCTTGATACCGACAGACATGAGTATAATGATTCCCGTTGATACCTACGTGAAATAGCAAATCTCCCGTCCTAAACAAAGTTGTGTCTGTCGGGTGTCTGTGTAGACTAATTAGCGCTTGTTTTGTATGCGCGCTATATATATACATCACTGTATTGATTCATGCACTTTGCATTCGCGGTTACGTTGTGAAAGATATGGCAAGCTTAAAGTCTCCAATATATTCAAGTTAACTTCCCAGATAATGACCTTGAAACTACAAATTACTACATTGTGTTTATAGGTTACGTACCAAATTAACCCTACTATCACACCAAACTAGTTTTCACTACGTTCTCGAAAACGGGCTTCAACTGTGTACGAACGGACAGGACGTACTTAGAACCGTTTGGGGTCTATTTACAAACTTCATCGAACGTACTCGAACGGGGAGGTCCTCTAGAACTGAGAACATGCTCAAAATGTTCTCTTGGTCGATACGTTCTACAATTAGAACGAGTGACAACGTACTAAGGACGAGTTGGACGTACTACGAACGGAATCGTCGTACTTCAATTCTACTCGGGACGTTTTAACAACGAGTTGAACTGTCTGAGCACGTATTGAGAACGAGGTAGAACTAATTGCAAACGGGTTTAAACTGATTAAGAACGTATTTAAGACTGCTTATGAACGAGTTAGCAAAAATATAGCTATCACACCAAACAAGTTTCCACTGCGTTCTTCAAAACTGGTTTTAAACTGTGTGCGAACGGAATGAACGTAGCTACAACGTTCTACGGTCTGTTTACGAACTTCATGGACTTTCCCGGACGGGGAATGTGATTTAGAATTTTGAATCGATTCAAAATTCGATGGCGACCATACCGTTCTGTAATCAGGTCATGATGACCTTCTAGACTAAGGGACGCGTTATACGACGTTGCACACCGATGTGGTGCGACCTGAACGAACTGCGAATGAGATGGACGTATTGAAGACTGTTTTTGAACGAAGTAGCTAATTATTTTAGACATATTTCCCGATCACAGCCAGATTGAGCCCGTTTTACGACGTTTTCGTAGGACTGGCAAGAACGGGTAAGAACTAGTTAGGTGTGATAGGGGGTAAGCGTGACTGTTGAACACACGAATGTTTTATACGCCCGGGTAAAATACACTATAACACAGATTCAAATTACTTGTGTTGTACCTTACCGACCGGGCGTTATACCGTAGACTACATTCGAAGTGTGTATAGGTTTAACTATTAAATTCACCGTCAAACTCACTGTCTAGGATGTTGTTACAGACAACTCATCCCCTAGACAACTCATCCCCTGGACAACTCATCCCCTGGACAAATCATCCCCTAGACAACTCATTCCCTGGACAATTCATCCCCTGGACGACTCATCCTTTGGCATGTTTGAGTAATTTAATGTAATATTGTTAATTCACATATTATTCAAATATTTTTTAAATGTCTTGATTATCATGATCAGTTTTAAGTTTCAAAATCAAATATTACATGAACACTCGATAATGTTGTAAACAGACCGTTTCGGTAACAAAATGTCAGAGCCTCAAAGGTACGATTTTTGTTTTTTCCTTATTCCTCCAGTTATAGGCAGAATATCATGTCTAAGAAAATGTACATGTGTGTGAACAAATAGTTCAAAAGACATCACGATTCTCGATTTAATACCTCACTTTTGTTCCGTAAACATAACCTCAAAAGATCTGCACTTCTAACTCTTTCCATTTATATAACAATAGTAAGGTATTAAAGCGACGATTCTGTTGTCTTCTGAGTACAAGTAAACAAAGATTTTCTTAAGGGGAAATCTGTAAAGTTATTTAAAAAACTATGATATACCATGGTACTACTATGGTATTGTCAAGGATAGTCAACCAATTAATCTGTAATTTGTTATGTAAATATTTACCTTTAATTTTACTTTTAATAAACAATTTCAATATTATGTTAACATTGATTGAAGAAGCTCCTTTGATGTCATAGGCTTCTTTAATGTCATATATGTTAGTTGTTCATAATTCAAATATTCTTTAATCAAAAGATTATTTTTTCACAGCAGTCACAGATGAAGTTACTGAAGTTCATGTTTCAAAATTATGCAGAGAGAAAAAAATTTTATCATGAAATATTAAGTCATGTAATATAAGGACAAGAGATGAAAGTTTAAACGGCACCGTTTGACTGTTTGACCATTTTATTTGTGTCAATAAAGTGAAAAATAATATTTAGAATGATTCAAAATGTATTTAATAAATATTTATTTTCTAAAAAAACTTTTCAATTTGGATTCATGTGATAAAGGAATGAGTTGTCTAGAGGATGTATTGTCTAGGGGATGAATTGTCTAGGGGATGAATTATCTAGGGGATGAGTTGTCCAGGGGATGAGATGTCCAGGGGATGAGTTGTCCAGGGGATGAGATGTCCAGGGGATGAGTTGTCTAGGGGATGAGTTGTCCAGGGATGAGTTGTCTAGGGGATGAGTTGTCCGTAAGCCGTCCGTCACGTCCGACAGTTTTCTCAAAAACCGCTACAGGTATCACATTCGAATTTTCAGAGATGACTTATGAGTATATACAGATCCGGTAAAAAAATTCCGACTCGATACCTATTTCTTGTCGGCCATTTTGAAGTCCAAAACTAAAATCCTTGTCTGCAAACTTAGTTGCAAACAAAAAGTTACTTTTATAACTTTAACATCTTGTTCAACTCACTTCATTCTACGTCTGATTAGGTTCTGGACATATAAGAAGGTGTCCTGTATTGTTGAATCTAACGGCTCAGTTCACAGTAGGTATATGCAATATTTTTTGTTTAAAAATTGACAATAATTTATGTCTGCTTTTTATTGGTGTTTTCCGTCGTAAAATCATGTTTGTAAGTTTTTCTACGCATATTCAGGACAATTGTTTCACAGATCAATTTAAAATTTTAAGGAATGATTCTTAGTACACAAATTGATTAGGTTTTGGGCATTGGGGGTAAATGTTGAGGCAGTCATTCTTGATTATTCGTCCTAAAATTGTGTCTATAAAGTCTCGTCTACGCGTTTTCACGCTAACAGTTTCACAGATCACTTTGAAATTTGAGATAATACTTGTCAAAAAGTGGCTAACTTACACATTGTCAATCAATAGATTAATGCAATTTTCAAGGATTTTAGAGGGTGAAATGAGGGATTTTAAGCAATTCTTCTCAAGAAAATAGTTTTTTCTTTCTATTAAGATGGGTCCAGGTGCCAAGAACAGCTGATCCTTGAATATCTATCATTTTGCAAATTGGAAGAAAGAAAACAATTTTTAGGTCCTCCACTTTTCTCTTTCATGACAGGAAATAGATTCTCAAAAACATCATAAATTCTAAATTTTGCTTAGAATAATTACTGTTTAGATAATTATGTATTCTAACATATTATTAGCATGATTATTGTGCAGTTGTGTGGAACAGAGTATGCAGTGTGTCAGTTTCAAGCAGGATTTATTACATCCTGACCAAGTATATCTTCACAATTATTCAGTTTATGGTTATGTAATATTGGCCTTCTTATCTGTTTAACATGTCTTTTAAATGAAAATTACAGCGCTTTGATACTCACTACTTTGATATGTTTGATGGCCTATCAAAATAAAGACCTTTTCAAAATAAGATATTAGTTTGGGAGAGCAAAGCATATTACTGCTATCTAGACATATGCCCCTCCTTAAATATCGGTTCAAATCTTGCTGCGCTATGGTGTGCAACGTTTTCTTAACTTTCCGGAGTTATTCCACGGATGATATTGTATTAAGTTTTTTAAACGATTGAACAACCCTCGCTTGCAACCTTCAAATAAAAGAAAATATAAATATCATTATGCTCCTGTGAACAGTTTTAAAGAGCAGTAGACAGGAAATTATTGAAATAGTCAACCCTGATCTCAGGCTCTTGTTCGTTTTTATGCGTTATATGCATTTGACATGTCATATAGTCTTACATTGCAGAATTGCAATTTAAATTCAAAAACGTCGCTTACCAGTTGATGTAAAAACGCTGACATTTCTATTGAATCGAACGCTTCCCTAATTGAAGGGTACCCTTAATTACCAAACATTATACCTCAATACTAAATAGTTTTTTTGCCTTCAGGATGATATTAGTCAGCTCTCCAAAGCATTACAAGCGCATTTTTACTTGGAAAACTACGCCAAAATTTGCTTTTATACCATGGTGTGTGCCCTTATTCGCTGTAATACCAATCACTGTATAAAATAACGAATATTGCTTGCAAATAACTAGCAATTCTGGTGTTTATTTGCTTCGAATTGCATGTTATAACCAGTAATCAACACTGACAGAACGCAGACAATAACTGCATATATGGAACACAAATATATGCAGCTGCATATAACAAACATCCACAGAGAATACTGACTGCATATATGGGTACTGTCACTGAGTATATTTGCTTATATTCAGACATACTTTGCATATTTGCTGTTTACTTGTGATTATATGCAGCGCAGAAACTGCATATACCTGCTTATTTGGGATAGACAAATATAAGCAGTTGAGTATACTAGATATGTATAGAAATTAACACTGGTTATATTGGCATATGATCTGCATATATGCCATTTTTCATGAGTATTCCTGCATATTTTGAGATAAGTGATGTGCAGCATGTGATTATATTGAGACATGCAAGAGAATATAAACTAACTACATTAGCATATATGGAGTCAAGATCGGTATATTTGACATTCCTTTATGATCATATGCAGCACGAGATTTGCATATTTTTGCTTATTTAGGAGGACTGGTAGACGCGGTTTTGTGATTGGGCATCGACCCAGGCATAAACGGGAGTTAAAACTAAATATACATGTAAACACAAGTTAGAAAAATTGCACTTAAACAGCTTTTACGTTTTTTATAATTTATTTTAAATTTTTTAGATGTGTATGTACAGAGTAGGCCAATGAAACGACCTCTACAAGTAATAACTTCAAATAGATAAACTAAATTGTACAGTATACATCGGGAAACGAAAACCATTTTAAAAACAATGATATGATGTCCAATACTAAAAAAATATGATGAAACATTTTGATGGATATTAATAGGATTACTATGTTTTGGCCAAACCTGTATACTGCTAAATAAATATATTTACATTTCATTGTACATGATGTAACATTATATTTCTATCTTTAAAATGGTGGGAACTTATGCTCCAAATCAATGTACGCATATTGCTCGATCTTGAAAACTGTATTTTTGTAGTTAGATATAGCCTGTTTTCCGGTAGCAAATTCTCGTTGGATACCGAATTCTGCTTTCTCCATTCAAACTCCTTTCTTGTACAAGTTTCTCAATATCTATGTAAATTCAGCTATCACACGATTTCTATTTTGCGAGAAATTTGTCACTGCACACAACTACACTGCTCTGGAGACACTGCTCTGAAAATACATAGAAACTGCTGTGTATTTTAATCAATGATACAAAGACACCAGTTTATAGCATACTGTTCGGTTATACAGTATAATGGACCTTCCAAGACAATCAAGTAATTATAAGTTATCAAGATCAATGCCACGTCTTATATTTACAACAATTTGCCAAGTGTCTTTATTGTGTTTTTTATTCATCGAACCTACTTATATCAAAACTCAATCATCTATTCATTAAAGGAAATAAAAAGAGAAATAAAAAGCAAGCTAACGTTTCACTTACGAGAGGCTTCGTCGTGTTCCTGGGTCTGGCGTGGAGCAAACGACTGTGGCTAAATTGCGCCAATGTGTAGACATTCTCACAGTATGGCATTATATTTATTGACTACTCGTAGAGCAAGCAAAGCAAAGCAAAATGTCAACCACCTTTGTGCGTGTCACGTACGATCATTACTTGTGCATCATAGTTCGGAGACACGCAGCTTGCTCAATATCCACCCTCCCCTCATCATTATTCAATAACAATAGATATTGTTAAAACATGAAAGCCTAAATTCTGCAACATTTTGCTGCTATATTGAACAGTCATAATGCTGTATTGATGAACCCATAATTTGACATCTCTAATAAATAATCTAAACATAAACAGTGCTAATTACCTGACACAATTGCACAATTGTGGCCGGATGTTTGGAGAAGCATTCGTGATTTGTATAGAATTACCTTTTCATTCTTGGCATTCAAAATACAAACTAATAATTCACTTTTTGATGTATTCAGTTTTTATTTCAAATAATAAGCTTATTCATAGGATTAAATCTGAATGACATTCTGGTGATTTAAGAATTGTATTAATCCTGGACCCCCTCCCGACATAATATCTCTTTAATAATCTGCAATCAAGAAATTGATAGACATAATTTAATCAGATAAATAGCTTATTTAGTTGTTAAGATTACTGATAAAGTGTTTGTTGGAACCATTATTTAATATTTATGTAGGCCTTGCTATATATCTTATCTATATAGGAATTCAGCAAGGGATTATTGGGTCAAATGTATTTTCCTCGCTAATGCCTACAGTATGTCACATTTGTTGCGATTCATCGGCCCGGTTGAGTATTTTGTTCCAAACTGAAATATGTGTTGCAATCAAATGTTTCGAGAGCCATTTACCATGATTTAAGCAAATCATTAAAGCTCTTTTTCAGACATTCAATAAATTTAAATCAGTCAAGTTTAAATGCGATCTCGCATATATTGCATAGTTTACATGTATTTGCAGATGTAGTGATTGTATCTTACATTTTCACATAATAATAGCTGTCATTTGACATGTAATATTGAGTTTTCAATATTTTGATTCATTCGTTTATCACTTTGCGATCATTAAAGCTTTAATCGGGGATACAGATTTTGAACAAGAACACGTACCGTACATTACGTATTACAAGTCAAAAACCTTATTTACTTTACATCATAATTTACTACGAACCCAGATGCTAGAAGAAGCAGTAGATAAAACTCACATCAAATAAGCTAGATGTAATTATTGAAAGGGTTATTGGTATTAAAAATCTCAATATTTTATTTCAACAAGTGCCTTGATCTCAGATATTACTTTCCCATGGATTTAAAAATCACCCAAGCACTAATTATAAGTAACACCATTGAACACAAGCCGTCTGATTGGATTACTTGCTAAAATAACATCCTTAGAAGTGAACAATACAAACATCTGATAATAATCTAGCTAAGTCCCCCCCCCTTGGTATCCATGCCCGCCTTGTTATATTCTTAAAAATGTTGAACTACCTTTTGTATTCCTTCAGAGATAATCGGTGAATTTCTGAATTTAATAGAAATTTAATTATACAATGTAGCACGGGGACTATACAATCATTACATACATGTAAACTTACCTTGCAAAATAATTGTTATGCGGAAATTAGAACCACCGGCTGTAGAAATTAATCCATATAATAACTATAACAAACGGATTAATATTAGTGACAACTCAACTCATTTGCAAGAATTGAATAATAAGGGATTAAAGTTTTGTATATTGCTCTGGCATGTCAAAAAGTATTTTTTGTAAGTTTGCTCTACCATGCACAAAACTTATTAATTGATCTGTCAAATGAAGTTGCAATAAATGTGCCTGTTTCTTTATCTTTATTATCAAATTATCAACTGAGCATATAGCCAAATCTTTCAAATTTTGTGAATATATTTGGAAATGGAAAACAAAGCAAGGCCCAATTCGAAATAGAAACAAGGCTATCTCTGATAAAATGTATAACAGAAAACATGTATTGTGGAATATATTGTTTGCAAGTTGTCAGCTTTTGCCTGGAGGGAGGGGGGCTCACGTACTTTCAAAAAAGTTATTTTAAACGCAATTGATATTTCATGCAAAGATCATGTAGAATATAGATTTTAATGTCAAGGTTATCTCATCTGATTTCACAAAATGGCTAACCTTATAATCACTATTTGAACCAGGGAAAGAGTCAGCAATTGTTTAGGGGGTGAGATTTCTTGGGTTTGCATCAATACGAACGAAGCAAGGCCCGGAACGGCGTTTACCCCCGGAAGTTCTGGATCCGGATGTCCATGTCAATGTTTTTTTCATATTTTGCAAAATTGCTTTTTCTTTTTGAGGGGGTGGGGAATGCAAGCGCATATGTCACCCCCGCCTTGGCTACGCCCATGCGAACCTACACCCAGCCGTAAACGGGTGTGGGAATTATGTTATAATGATCATGACATAGATAATGAGACGGAATGTAGCCTGTATAACTGTTGATTCCCGGGTTTTGTCTCTTCATTCTCATATTATCAAATTATCAAAAAAATATTTTTTGATTCACAAAACTGCACCGAAACATAGAAAAGTACACGAAGGCAACCGCATTTACAATCTATAGTTCTGAAAAAGCAGGATTAATAAAAGCCAGTATCAAACTGAAGTTAAAAAGCCGGCTTTTTGATACCCAGTTTGTAAAATTCAAATTAGAATACTATCTTTATTTTCTATTTAAACTTAAATCAATTTATTATAAACAAACTATAAGGGCAAACTATGACCAAGCATCGGGAATAGAAAACTCATGTAAATGAGTTATATAAGACAATGAAATCAACACTGATTGAAACATAAACACTATAAAATCTTCTTTTGATTCCATTACCTGTCATAATGTTTAAATACCGACTTTACCGGGAGGAATTTAACAGGGGCTTTAATTCAAAGGCAAGAATATGTTTTGATATCTTATTAAGTGGATTAAAAGCTGTTGGACGTTGCTCCAGTGATTTATATTTTATGATTCTGAATTGATCTGTGGATTATAATTGAAGTCAAAAACATGACCAAAAGAGTCTAGACTTCCATTTGCTTTGATCATGAGGAATTGGAAACAATCAGAGCGGCGATTTGAAAAAGCAAAAAAAATTGAATTCCCATGCATAATCCAAGATTTAATACAAAATTAAATTATAATACCTTCTCAGGAAGAATTAGGTTGCATTGACTCTGAAAGTAGAGATAACAAGTTCAGCTGTATAGCCAGCTTTCCATTGGGGGGGGGCATATCTATAAACACACGTGTTTGCACAAGCTATTAGCAACTTTATTAGCAACTTTTGATAACTACAAGGAAGATCTCTCTTTTCTGGCGCGACTGTAAAGGTGTCCAAAATCATAATTATAGTAAAAATAGATCATTTCAAAATCCATCTAGTTGCTTATTATACACAGGTAAAGTTATGTTCATTAAAAACTACGGACGGTACTTACATTCTTTAGTTGTATTGTTTTATCATGCTTAAAAGAAAAATACGCACAAATAGTCTGTTTTTTATTTGTATGCTCAGTTATAAAATGAGCAGTGTAACTTAGAAATAGCTTAATATAGTCAGAAAGAAGCAATTATAATGTGTGAATATATTACACACTTACAGAGTATTGCGTTTGCATATATTTGAGTATTCTTAACTTCACATATAATCAGTGCTTATTTGTGCTGTTCTACAAATAAAGAGGAGCAATACCTGAATATACAGAGTGTTCCATATATGCAGCGAGTACAGGGTGTTCCAAAAGTAACAGGACTGGTGCTGGCATTTTGTTAAATATGCACCAATCATCTTCAAAATTTCATATAATGTACTTTTATGTATCGTTACTAAGATTGCAAAGTTTCGACAAAATATGTGAAACTCGAGTAGAGTTATGGTTGCTATAGTTACATGACATCGCAATACCCGGGGCAACATTCCACGCAAAAAATTACAGAGACATTAAGCATTTTGTACATGCTATATCATTTTGTACATGCCATATCAAAGTTGAAATGCAACAACCGGTGTGAATTACATTTGTTTTACATCATTTGATATGCCTAAATATCCTCTACTTTGAAAAATAGGCTCCTCTTTGGTCAGTACAAGAGTGGGACTCTGTATCCATGACCCAAACACATGCGTGAACCCATTTGAGGACATGTCACGCAGAATTGGACAATTTGGAGAAGGTCATTCTCATCTTTAAAGGTCTTACAGCACTGATTTGTATTCCATTCTCAATAAAAGTAAAAATTAGATATTGCATGATCAGAAGAGTATGGAGCATGGTTTTAGACCTCAAGACCTAGCTTCTCTATCGCTGCATACTCTTTAATGGTTTACCTCCGGGCAGGCGGGCTATCAAGGTAGATGCCTGGCTTCAAATTGGGTCTTTTCCAAAACTCAACCGTGAATTGTTCGGACTGTTATACATAGTGATATTCCAGGAAATTGAATAAATATTATTATCATTGTGAAATTATACTTGAATCTGAGTTGTATAGCAACACCTTTACAACAAAGCAACTAATAAAATAAACAAGAAATGTTGTATTATAATAGGTGAATTAGATACTTTCTTCAGTAATACAAAAATGTTAGATATCACATGTTCAGGAAAAAAGTTGCCCCGGGTATTGGGATGTCATGTTACTATAGTAACCATAACTCTAACTGCATTTCATCATGTTTTCTGGAACTTTGCAATTTTAGTTGCAATACTTCAAACTACAAGTTGTGAAAATTTGAAGACACTCAGTGCAAAATTGACAAAATGCCAACACCAGTCCTGTTACTTTTGGAACACCCTGTATTGTCTCTGTAATGTCTCTGTTTATATGTGCTGAGTATTTTTGCTGATTACTGCACATTACAAGAGATTCTTACATATAGACACTTCTTATAACAAAGCAATATTCTCTATTTCATATAGTGAATATTCATAAGTTGGGGTGGAATGGAATTTGACCCAGAGAGCATGATATGTATATTCGACTATGATAATGTGGCGCCAAATATGTACGCTACTGCAGTATTGTCTATGTCCGTCATTCTTTCTTTTGCATCTATCGTCGTTGCACACTTCAGAATAATAAAAACAAAGATGTTGCAGGTAAGTTTGAATTTACATACATCGTCTAGATAGTTTATACTAAGCCTCCATGTACAACGTACTAAGTGTAAATTAATGAATTTCACTTTTCTATATAAAAAAAATCGTCGTGTTGAAAGTATATTTGCCTTATAAAATTGGAATGGCACAAGTCGTTTTTCGTAAGATATCATAGTGAATTAAAAATATGGATTTTGGTAATGGTTACTAAATACGTAGTGGGGAGAAGGTATAAGGCACTGTTTGTTTGTTTGTTTGTTTGTTTGTTTGCTTGTTTGTTTGTTGGATTATCGCTCAATGGGAGTTTTTTTCAAAAATTTATAAAAGTTTCGCTAATTCTGATCATGATAATTTTGTCTAAATTTGAAAAATCTCTTGCCTGAAGACCATGTGCTACTTCGATATCATCGCTAATAGCTAGCTATAATTTCGCTTTTATCAAAACTATAGCTAATAGCAACAATTTCACTTCAATTTCAAAATAATGGCTTTTATCGTTAATAAATTCTTGGCCTGGGCAAATGATAGTAACAACAGGGCCCAAGTGGAATCACCAATTTCTTATTATAACAGAATATTGATATTATCGATGATATCTAAAGGTTTGACAAAATTGAAATTAGCGATGGCACTAATATTTTCCAAATTATCGCTAAAAATCAGAAAGTAACATTATCAGATGTTATCAAATAATATTGATATTATCGATACTAATAATTTGATAATATTGATATTATTGATACTTTTTCGAAACATTTTCGAAATCATCAAATTTATCGATAATTGAAAAAATGATATTCTGCGCCTAAATGCGAACACTTAACTGTAAGTGTTTTTTTCAGTTGGCCGCGATATCTCCTAATATATCACTGATGAGTCTTACCGCGGGCGAGATCAAAGTAAAAGATAAAAAATACGATTCGGAAACCATAACAGAAGAGCTTCGACAAGAAATTAATGATATGGCCATGACTGGACGGTTGCTAACGGCTATCTTCATCTCTTCGTTGATATGGTTACCTTGCCTAGTTGCCCTCGTGTCACACCACATAATGAATTACGGGAGAGATTTTTGGGCGTTTGCCAATCTTCTTGGTCACATGCAACCGGGATTAGATTGTTTGTGTTACGTCATTATCAGCAAGTACTTTAGGAGGGGCTATAAGAATGCGATAAGTTTGATTTTCTGTTGCAACAATAGAGAGAAGTATGGTACAGTTCCTAATGTTTAAAGGGTGCAAGTCACACTGGAACACCCTGACAACGGTAAAGTCAGATACCGTTGTCACAAATGGCGGACGTAAATTGTCTTCAACTCAGTCAGTTGGTTCTTATTTCATAGGGCCTTATCGCTGTTCTACCAAAGAAATTTAATCTAGGTGCTCTATTAAACATGCGAATTATGAAAATTGAATCGAATACGAACTTGTGGCCGCCATTTGTGACACCGGTATCTGATTTGACTGTTGTCAGGGTGTTCCGGTGTGAAGTATATGAGATCTTAAACACGATCACTGAACAGATCGCATTCAATACAAAGTGTGGACTGCTTGCAATAACCTGTTTCTTCGTTGCCAACGACGTACATCTTGATCTAGTGCTTATGTAGGCTATGGTTTAAGGATGTCCCCTGGGGGATGTCACGTGACCAAAGTTGAGAATGATGAATATGGGTCCCTGATCCTAATGGTTTCTGTGAGTTAAAAAACGCTTAAATACTCCAAAGTATAGTTTTGGGTCAAGATCCATATTTGATTGAAACCCAATAACATTTGACATGTATAGTACAACACTTTTCAGAAGCATGCCGTTTCTGTTCTTATGTCCGTTTAAGATGATTGCAGGTGAATCGGTATGTGCGTATTGTCTCCTAATGATTCCAGTAAAACGTAACCATCAGGAGTTATTGTTAACACTGAAATTGCCGCATGTATGATTGAAACACGTGACCAAATATCTACAGGAAATTGCAACGCTCTGAAACAAAAGAAAAAAATGGTCATTTACCAACACAATGACAATATGAAATATGTTCTAGTATTTTGAAAAGTACTGTATAGAATTATTCAAATGTGAACTATTAGATCTCTGGGTCTCTGGTTTGAATAGATACTGAGATATAGCATGGTCTAAATAGTTCACCTATGAAACAGAAAACAAGTTACTAGTGAGGTGTTTTAGTCAACTAATATGTTAGATCGGATAGTGTGTAAGTAATAAAAACAATGTAAGCATTGGGTACGATAGTTAAAACAATTAACGTGTTAAAATATTCTGTAGTAGATAACAAGTTATTTGTTAGGTAGGATAAAGTGTAATAGAAACAATGTAGGTACTAAGTAACATAGTGTGCAATATAAAGAAATTAAGGTGTTAGAAAATGTTGTAACAGAAAACATGATATCTAATAGGTAGGATAATGTGTAATAAAAACAATGTAAGCATAATGTAGGATAGTGTGTAACATAAAACAATGCAAGCATAATGTAAGATAGTGTGTAATATAAAACAATGTAGGTATTAAGTAGCATCGTGTGTAATATAAAGGAATTAAGGTGTAAGAAAAATTTGTAATAGAAAACATATTATTCGATAGGATGGATAATGTGTAATATAAAACCAATGTATAATAAAAAAATAATAATAATAATAATTCCTCACCGCATAATAAGGTATCGCAACATGTTCGAATGTGCGACAATTATTTCGTGGACATCAGATAACTCATTTTGTTCTGCCCGATGGAAGTATTTCTGGAACGCTAAATCCAATCTCTTTTTGTCAGCTTTATATGGATACTGAAAAAGTAATTAGCAACAATTAATATTAATAGTGAGTCTTAGTTTTAGTTTGTGCTTATTGGTAAAATGTATAATGTTGTATAACTTTAAATGGTATGGATTAATAAATGATTATTGAGAAAATGAAATGAATATGGTATGTCATTTGGAATGTACAATTCGTACAGTACAAATACGAGTCCATGAGACACTATAGATTAAAAGTATCTACGCCTCGAGTCCATCTATTTTGTTTCCAAAACGTCTGTATAAACACTATGTGTGTTATAACACTAATGCCTGGCTCACATTTGCTCCGATTCATCGGTCGGCGCCCGGCCGATTGAGTGTTTTGCTCCATATTTTATTCAATTTTTAACAAAATACTCAATCGGCCGGGCGCCATAGTGAATATCGGAGCAAATGTGACCAAGACATAAGCCATACTCTATCAATTTTAGTGAAAGTGTTCAATTAAGGGCGTCATAGAAGTAATGAATAACGCACCTCCTCCCACTTAGGAAATGTATCTAGATTTGTTCGAGGAGGAATAGCCCATCCCTCAATCAACATTTGATCGGTCAGGTTAGAAAGGGTAGGAAAATATTTTAGGATGTGCTCAGATGTTTGCACGCATCTGTGGTAAGTAGACGAAATGAGTCGCTTAAATTGAATAGCATATTTTCGCTCCCGCCGTTTTAGCCACTGTCCTGTAATATTCGCTTGTGTATGACCTGAAACATAATTTTTTTTTGAATTATCGGATTAATTCACTTTCTACATAAAGGTTGCTTTAAGATATGATCACAGGCTGGTATCGAAATATTTGTCCGCTGTGACGGAGCATGCTATTTTTCATAAAAACACTAAGAATACTTCACGATTTATTTTTTAACTCATATCTTTCGTTATACCATACAAAATTACTTACTTAATGCAATGGATATATCATTTGCGGGTAACTTTCACTTCTGTTTGAAGTCCAATTACGCTGGGAAGAAAAGCTATTGAAAATGGCGCCGGAGTATCATACTTCAAAATGTACCATTTCTTGTTTAACTTTCTAATGGCACGATATAGTGACACGATAATATTTACACATGGTTTCAGCATAACTATGAAGGTATAAATGAGATGTTGATGTATTTGCTCTTTTTAATTCTTTTATAAAAAATAATGTTTAATTTTTTTGTCCGCTGTGACGGAGCAGTTGCAAATGTGAACTGTGAAAATGCTCCGTCACAGCGGACAAAAAATATTAATATTATTTTTTATAAAAAAAATTAAAAAGACCCAATGCATTAATATATCATTAATACATTCAGAGTTATGCTGAAAACATATGTTAAAGTAACACATTTACGATTCTAGGCAGAATTTCGACAATTTAAGCGATATGAGTCAAGAAAATAGTCTTACCTTTCTATTAGGATGGGTTCAGGTGCCAAAAATAACTGATCCATGGATATATATCATTTTGAAATTTGGATGCAAGAAATATTTTTTCGGAGCCATGTTTTTTTTACGAACTCATAACAGGAAATAGATTATCTAAATGAAAACTGAATTTACATCATCAATCCTGGTTTTGACTTAAAAAATTTACCGAATTAGATATTTAAATATTATTAAAATGATTATTGACTATTTTTTTATTAATCTTATGCAGTGATTCGACTGTCTTCTAAAATTTATAACATAGCTTTAGAATTACATATTTCATCATGTCAGTCTGGCCTAATGGAGAAAGGCGCAAGACTACGATTTTGATGATTGAATCCAGCTGTCGGTGGTTCGATTCCCGGTCGGGACTAAGGATTTCTTCTTTTTTATATATCTCTCAGACACAAATTTTTTTTTAATCTCTTTTTATACAACATATAGTCATATCTATTACTTTTTGAGGTTTTAGATTTTAGATACATCGTAAATGTGTTACTTAAATATTATCTTGTCACTATATCATGCCATTAAAAGGTTAAAAAAGAAATGGTTCATTTTAGAGTTTGATACTCTGGCGCCGTTTTCAATAGATTTTACTCCTAGCGTTACTGGACTTCAAACAGAAGTGAAGGTTACACGCAAATGATATATCCATTGCATAGAGTAAGTAATTATCTTTGATATAACGAAACATATGAGTTAAAAAATAAATCGTGAAGCATTCTTAGTGTTTTTATGAAAAATAGCATGCTCCGTCACCGCGGACAAATCTTTCGATACCTGCCTGTGATGATAATTACAGAAAAAATTATATCTTATATCAAAGTCTATTGATTTTGCAAATTACATATCGTAATGATAAGGGTAAGTGTGTACGTTTGGCCATTTTGATAGGATGGCATGACAAAAAACTTTAGTTTGAGAAAAAAAGTGCCGTTTAAAGAATTTGAGAAGATTTTTTCTAGGAGTAGCCCGTGAAAAACCGCTGATTCAAAATATCTGAACATTTCAGAAAATATACTTCAAACATACATCAAAAACGAAGGAGCAACGGAAATTTGAAAAATGACCCGATAAAAAAATTGGGATCAAAAAAGTACACTTCTCAAATTGTTTTTTTTCTATTTTTTTAATTTGTATGAGAGATTTCAAAATTCTAAAGCTCCTTCCATTTTGGGCTATATTAAAAGGATGTTTCAGAGAAATTAGAAAAAAATGTTCAGGGACCTTTGCCGTGCTACTCTTTTTGTCAATTTTTCTGTCACATTTTCAGAGGACTCAAATTCCCATTCCAAAATGTTTACTGTTTCTATTTGCATTAACACAGTGAGCCTGGTTATATAAATGATAAGTGGAACTAAAAAATTGAGAGAAAATCCAACCAAAACACAGTTAATTTTGATGGTCAGATTATACTCAAATGCCATGTGCTTCCTGGTTTCGGCCATCTTGGATTTTTTGATTAAGTTATAAGTTACCTTAACTCATTCCACACAAGGTCTACATCTTATAAAATTGCAAAAATTCCAAAAGTAGCTATAAACACTTACCGTATGTACATTCCGGTGATTCGGGCCCAGAATAACAGGGACTAAATCTTAAAATATACCTACCTAATGAAGTAAGCATATGATCCGAGTTAACGTTGTAATCTCCATGCCTCACTAAATACAGTACACGTTTAACAGATGGACGATGGTTTGCCAACCTGGAAAATAGCCACATGGTAAAGTATGATACATGTAAATGATGTGTGAAACTAGAAAAACTGACTTAAGGTTAATACGGAACTCAGATACCATAGTTCAAAAAAATTTCAAAAACTCAGCATGTTTTCTGACTTCCTGTTTCGTTACTTCCTGTTTAACACCATGATACCTTAACAGATATCGTGTCGCATTGTACACTGGCGACATGCGCAAACAGGCTTGAACGTTGTATTTGAACGTGCAAGTTAAAGTGATTAACTAAGATGTTGTTTCCTAAACTTTGCATTCCCCCTGTGGGGTCATGCAAAGATTTGGAAAACACATCTTCGTGGATTGGTTCAGCACACAACACACCGTCCAAGGCTCAAATCCTTAATTCAACTGTCACAAATCGTCAACTCCAAATGATACGTGAGTGTTTAAAAATTATTAGCTACCTTATTCTTATGTTTAACTGGACAGGACACGACAACAGGGGTTCTCAGTCAACGTTATTACGAAGCAGCTGCGTAATTACATGTACCTTGTTAATGCATGGAAGTTAATGCATTTACTGTCAAGAGGCATAACTCAACTGTGACTGCTTAAACTTTGAACTTCATGGTGCGTTTTTAGCTGTCAAATCACACACTCATTACTTCATATATAGATACAGTTATAGTCAATACAAAGGAAAATATCTTGTGTTCATCAGCAATGTGAAACTCGCTCAAAATGTATGATTTTTACCTATACAGGTATATATAGGTTCCGCATTTTTAGAAAAGATGTGAAAATAGAATGCAGAATTGTCACTTCAACATATAGTTTTAAAAAAAGAATTTGTAAATATTCGCATAACATTTTGAAAATATCACCGATTTCGTTAAATATTGCTATTGACCTTGAGCTTACACTTTTACTGCCTCGCACTACACGTTTTCTACTTATGCCTGGGTCACATATGCTCCGATCCATCGGCCGGCGCCCGGCCGATTGAGTATTTTGTTCAAAATTGAATACAACATTGAGCAAAAAACTCAATCGGCCGGGCGCCGTAGTGAAAATCGGAGCAAATGTGACCAAGGCATTACTTGTCCCAGTTATCAATCCAGCGTCTGGGCGTTGTTTTTGTTTCATTTCTGATAATGTCTTTCTCTAGCTTACCAACTTCTGAATTGATATCAAGAATATTCGAACTAAATTCTAACGTAAGGCGTTTATATTCAGCTTGAAGACTTGCATAACTTTCTTGTAACTCTTGTATTTTATTTGTGGTTGTCATGGAAACAGTCACAAGGTTGTTGCACTGGCTTTGGTGTGCCGACATCGCAATATAAATCACCATGCACGATGGCAATAAAAATAGCATCAATGTACAAGTAAAATAAATTACTGTCGAATTTGGTTTATGTTGCAATTTATTGTTTGTCCTTTCCATTCTGCGTTGTTTCTCGAGTATTCAGTTGCTACTTTTACTTGATTATCTTGTATAAATGTATAGCATGGCAACCATGGTTATTCATATCCAATGCCACGTATGTTAATTACACACAATGGGCACCATAGCGTGTTTCGATTCATTGAAACGTTTAATCCATTTTCAAAACACAAATTTCACCTAATATAGCTGTGATTGAAATCATGAGCGTGTACACTTAAATTTCTGAGGTCAAATTATAAAACGACATGAGAAATGTATTGAAGTGTACAGTTGAACATTTCAGTACAATGGAAGTCAGATGTTAAATTTAATTATTGTGTCATACACAGGGATTCGCTCAGGGTTGCCGTCAGTGGAAGCTGAAAAATGATATATCAGAATTTGTCATATCAATAGACCATCTTTGGAGGTAATGTACCTACGATTAAGGCAAACGGTCAATGTCTGGTTTGATTTCATGATAAGGTTACTGCCTTACACGACACGAGCCTAAATGGTTTGACGTACCATTTGAATTGAATGAGAGAGTATCATCCGAGTACGTTTGGATGGAGAGCATCGCTATAGATTAACATGTAACAGCACTTCAGCCATGGATGTTCTAAATAAACGTTCGAATCGGAAGTTTATCATAGCCGGGGTAGTATGCTGCTTGGTGACGTTAACGTTACTAACGCTGATGACGCGTTTAGGTGGAACGTGCCAAATCCACCACAGCCCCGTGCCTCCGTATCTTGACAAAACAGCGCAAATCAAACACCCCAGAAAAATGGATGAAAATAAAATTGAAGTTGATGAGCTACTTCAAAAGATACGAGTTATATCTGATAAGATACGCCAACTAGAACACAAAATCGAGCCATCAGATCAAGAACTCGACGCTTCTAATACGACCAACTGGAATAACAATTGGGATAAGTACGTTAACTTGATACAATGAAAATCAAAATTTAGTGACACTCAGTTTTTTTGTGTACAGTTAACCCCAATCCCAGCAAACGCTTTTTAATATGACACACTGACACAGGGGTCCATCAATCGAATATTGATATCTGTGATTTCATCAGAAGGCATTGGCGGATTAGGGGGGGGACACCCCCCCCCCCCTGGGTGGGCCCAAAAAATTGGGCCCTAAAACAAATTTGGGCCAAAAAAGGCCTTACGCCCCAAAAAGTGGGCCTTTTTGGTCATTACTGGACCTTTTAAGGCCTTAGTTTTTAATTACATGCCAAATTTTGAAAGAAAAAGGGCCTCAAAATTTGGTCTCACTTTTGGGTTTTAGGGGCCCAATTTTTTTTTTCTGACCTGAAATTTGGGCCCCCCCCCCTTGTTGGTATGTTCATTAAACTCTTGAAAGATATATCAACTTGGACAAAAAGTATTATAAAATGTGAGTGACCTACCTGTTTTGGTAGATAAAGCATAAATTGAATCCATGTACTTAAATTATATTCTTTGTAGAATGGAGAACATTAACCGAACAGTTCTCTACAAGACACACATCACCCTTGTCGTTGGAGGAGAATCTAAGGGTGGTCAAATAACACCTAAAGGTGAGTATTTTAAGATTATGGTAATTATGGTAAGTTCTGCAACTAAATCGTATTGGTCATTTTTGAAATTGGGCAGTCAGTTTAATGAAATTATTTAATTTTGGCAATCCAGCAACTGGCCGCTGACATTGTACCTTTTTGAATCTGATCGCAATCATTGATCTCAGTTTGATTTAAGGTTCAGCTGGAAAGTAACATTTTTGCTAAAAAATTGCTATACCTGTACATTTTATTTTCTTGTACAAAATTAAGTATGAAGGTTCTGTCGGAGATCCTTGTCCAGTTTCAAGTCCATTTTTAGGTCTTCGTCAAATGAGTCAGACAGCCGTTGCTATAAGAGATATATACCAACAACGAACAGTCAGAATCATACATGCGGAGGATCATTCTAGCAAAAGATCTGCCATTGAGATATCTCGAGTCACACATGGAGTGATTTCCCAGGATTCATTGCTAGATGGAGGATATCCTGGGACACCCGACCCTGTAGTGAACGAAACAGCTTTACCATTAATGGATATCAGAGGCTATGTAGAGTTTCGAGATTCTGCGAGACTAGAAGCGGGATTTAGACGGTTTATACATCACGGGGAGAAAATGGAGTACGGAACAGTGCTTGTTGCACCGGAAGTTGTTGTTAAATACTTCATACTAAGGTAGGATATTGTCGAATCACATTCTCTTTTATGTTCATACAGTGACCCTTACGAATTGCAAGTGTTCAAGTTATCAAATTCATATACAGGTATAAAAGGGTAGGAGGTCCTATCAAATTATATGGTCCTACTCTCCATTGATTTATGTGGTGACCTAAATACAACTCTTTCCCTCACTATCTTACACGCAATCAGGACCAGTAAAGGCCGTTGAGAAAGGGGACCATAATCCCTGGGGGACCATCATTTCTTTCACACCGGGTGTGCCAAAAATGAGACACTTGGCAAGCATTTTCGTACAAACTAGAGTCCATTTCACTGCTTCATTTCGTCAGTAGAACGGCAAAAATAAGAAACTGGGAGACCATTGTGCAATAATATATGGAAAAATATATTCATAATGTACATGAATGACATTCGTATATCTTGGATTGCTTCCAGTTTGGCTTATAAAGCGTGTGGCCTCTTATATTTGGATGTTTCTCTGCCATGTTATTTTCAATAAGATTAACATGGCTGAAATTCTTCAAATTACAAGACGGCACAGGCTTATTGCACAAAAAACTAAAAAATCTGAAATATACAAATGTCATTCATGTACATTATGAATATACTTTTCCATATATTATTGCACAATGGTCTCCCAATTTCTTATTTTTGCCGTTCTACTGACGAAATGAAGCAGTGAAATGGACTCTAGTCAATAGTACCGTTAGCAATATGAAATGATCAAGTCATGAATGTTATATGAGAACAAAGAAATTCAAGATACCATGTCAAGAGACCCATACCGGAGCAATGCAATGTAAACTTGATAGTGTTTGACCAAAAAATGGGCAGCAATTTGAATAATTCATCAGCAATTGAAAAGCCAAATACTTTGAAAACTTTTCTTGAGGCACTTCAATGTATCTTCTCTTAGCGCTATGAATATATAAGAGATAAATTGTGTGTGTGTGTGTTTGGATTAGAGGAAGTATATAAAAAAAACAATATTTATGTTACAGTCACTTATTAATCTTTTTCCATGCAAAAATACTTTCCGTATTAATTCTAACAATATCGCATCCAGTGAATTTTTAGAATGAATGGATTGTGGATATTTGGGAAGAATGGAATAAATTGAATAGACATGACACACAGACTAGCTATTTTGTCTGATTGACAGGTGCTATCATATATATTTACTTGATCTTTTTAATATTTTACCATTTACTAATGCTTCTCTTAGGCTACTTTGTACAAACTTTCAGTGAATTTAATTGACAAGAAGTGTCTCAATTTTTGGGACACCCGGAATAATAGGTAAATTTAAAGGTACATGTATGGGTAAATGAATAATAAATCTAATCGAATTATGGAAGTGAGTGTAGCAACACAAAAATGGAATACAGAATCTTTCTGGGGCGGAATTTTTATTTATTGCGCCACAAAAGTCGTCAAGTCACACCCTATTTCAATATTTATATTTCCAGTATGGTATTTTTGAAAGATATGATATAATGCTCAAAGTTGTACTCAAACCATTTTACTCGAATAAGAGATATTATTAATGATATCTTACCGTATGAAAGCCACACTTTACGATGGTGATCAACAATTCCAAAAATTCATTTTATCATGATATCGGGGATATAAAGTCAGCACGTGTCTGTTTTCGAGGCAAAACTCATTTCATTTTCAGAGCAGAAATTTTACGTCACGTGACATGACGTGTGTGGTTGAAACAATTTTGCCGTGAAATACGATTTCGTAGATAAAAATTAAAAATCGAGTCATTCACTGTAATGTTGAGCCAATTAATTGCATGATCATGATTGCAATTGAGTGCGGAATCAGTCGAGTTGAAACGCTATTGAAAGCATGTAATGCCTTGGTCACTTTTGCCCCGATTTTCACTACGGCGCTCGGCCAATTGAGTATTTTGTTCAATTGTATTCAATTTTGAACAAAATACTCAATCGGCCGAGCGCCGACTAATGGATCGAAGCATATGTGACCCAGGCATTACCAAGGCATAAGTTATACAACCGCAGATATTGCCAGTGTTTGGGGATTAAAATTTTTCAACCCGACTGTAATGCTGTAAGGCCAAAAAAATAATTATTGGGTTAACATTTTCAGTTATCGATATACAGTTTCGAATTCACAAATGCATTTTAATCAATTCCTTGAATATGTAATGAATAATATTGCAGTGCTCTTTCCTCAAGAATTTATTTTTGTGAAGTTCAATCAATTAAAATTATTTATTTGGCTATTCGGATGCGTGCGAATGTGAAACTAATGTTTATATCCACTTTGGTTCAGCCTTCGTAGTTGTTTGCAACAACAACTTTTCGATTTAGCGCCAGAATAACTTGGCACACGATACGTCATGGTCAGGTGACCTCAGAAAGTGCGCAAAATAACAACATTTCAGAGGTTGACAGTCCTATCTTAATAATTTTCGTGTCGTGTGGGGAAATATCACAAGCTTTGTAGTCAACATAACAAAACGGATGCTATTTGTGCTAAAAAGAAATATTAAGAGATTCTTTAATTGGTTTTAGTACAACTTTAATCTTAAGTGAGGTTTATGAGCGGCAATTTTGAATTGAAAATGTGTCTATAAAACAATTTTATAACAATCATTTTTTGCCACGGCCTGAAAGGTCTAAACACTGCAAGTCTTTTAACTGTTTAATGCTAGATTTTGTCTAGATTAACCTACAGAATATACCGATAAGGTCATGTCCCCTTACAGTGAGATTTACTTGTAAAATATATATGTCATTATCGTAGAGTGAGTTGAATGCTCATGTTAAGGTGTCACTACGGTAATTCATTGAAAAATATTGGAAAAAAAATTCACAAAAGTCAAGTTTTGGGGTACATATCGCCATTTTCTAACGGAAAACCCATACAATGATTATATTTCTGCATTCCCCTATACATAACCTTCATCTTGACACTATATTTAACATAGGGGTTGCGTCTCGATTTTTAAATATCACTACGCCAACGTAGGGACTCATTTTTAGGTAAAATTCCTGCTTCGCCGATGAAAATTAACGAATAAACTAATTCCAGTTTGCGGGATATTCTGGCAATTTTTTCTAAGAATGGTTCATTTAGGAACTTCTTGCTTTGCATACATACCTCAAATGGCCACAGCACATGCACTTAAACCTACTATACACATCATTGAAGTAGGCATGGCTTCGTTTTTAAAGAATTAAAAAACACCGTAGTGACACCTTAAGTGGATTTTAATTTTTAATTTCAGGTCGCTTCAACTTCCGGTTTCAATGTGGCAAAGACTCAGCTTGGAAACTGGGAGTATTTCAACGATAAGAGTCGAAGTACACCATGGCGTCTTGGTCTCAGCTATTGGTAGTATAGGACATCTGACAAAAGAGTAAAATATTTAAACTAAATAGAAATTCAAGACTGATGAACCAGATCTTGTGTTTTGAAAATTTATCGATTATTAAGGTTTTACACCAATGGTCATATGTAAAGAATATTTTGCATTTTTAGCTTTTAACACAGATTCAAGCAATTTTAGCTAAAGAAATGTATATTTTATTTTTCAAAATTCATGCTTTGATCAAAATCCATGGTTTTTATAGTTTAATAAATATCGAATTACACTAGTGTTGAAGATTTGATTGCACCGTTTCAATGTCAACCACAACGCTCAAACTGAAAATAGCGAGGTCAAAACATCAAGTTTGATCAAGA